ATAATAATAAAATTTAGTAATGAAGTAAAACTTATTGTAAACTAAAATAAATATAAACAAAAAAGAGAATTAATTTAGTGATTTAATTCAAAAAAAATCAATGCTTAAATCATTTCAAACCTAGGCTTATTTCTGGTTCAGGAAATCATTAAAAATAATTTAAAATCGAAGAATCTAAATTTCTTTTCTAATTTAAAAAAAATTTTAAGCCTAATAAACCATGATTTTTATTTTTATCTAAAAATTAAAATAGATTTATACATTTTATTTAACTTAAACCTGAACATTTAATTTCTTTTGGCTTTATCAAGAATTATCATTTAGGGCTCAAATGTCCAATTATCAAAATAAACAGATTTTACATGAATATTCTGTTTAGTCTAGCGTATTAAGCTACTGAAAAATTCAGATCGAAATAATTAAGAATTTTAACAACAGTTCTAGAAACCGGGGGGTCATATACCCAATTTTCTATCTGAAGGGTAAAGATAGTAATAGTCCTATTCTTTAAGGATATACAAGATTAAAGTGGAATGTAAAGAAGAAGGAATTTTTTTAAAAATAATAAGATAGTTATTATATAAATAATTATTATATAGGTGGAAATTTCCTTCTTTTTATAACCGTATTAGATTGAAATCTGAGTATATATTTTTAGAAATTTTGGGTTGTCCTAATTTTACTACTTCAGTTATCGCACAATTGCAATATGATAATTCGAATGAAAAATATATTATGTTTAATGGCTTACTTTTCTAATTTAGAGAATAGCAAAAATTTAGACCAAAGATTCAAAATTGAAAATAATTATGATATAAATATTTTTAAATTTGTTATGCTGTTTGAGGAGTCAGACTTCACCTTATTATTAATGAGTATGACATAATTATAGTTATATTTTAAACAATATGAATTATAATTTTTTATCAATAAGGATGAGAATTTTATTGTTATGGAAACATTCAACTTGTTGTTCTCGACTTATCGCCATTATTTCCCTGGTATATAAAGCACATTCTCTCCGTAAATTATTCATCATTTTATTTTCCTATCGTATGCATAAAAATGTTCACTTGTCATGTATGGTACAACATTTTTATTCTCTGGAGACTAATTCTTAGTCCACTTCAATAATTATGGTATTTAAAACTTTACATAAGATTGTGGGAGAATTTTGAGATTTAGTTTACTATAGCGAAAATAGATATCGAGGCTTTACCATATAATTAACATTGCACAATTTGTAATATCGGGCATAAATAAATTCTTTTAAAAATTGGGCCGTTTTTAGCGAAAATATATATGTTGAATTATTTTAAAATTTTTAACGGGGAAAAGATTATTTGTTTTAAATAAAAGAAAATGATGAACTTATTCATTTTTAATGATAACAATATGCGAAAAAATTCCTAAATCGAACCCATTAACTGATATTAACCGTTATTAATTACAGAATCAAATTTAAACCGTTGAATATTTTGTCACCCAAACTTGAAACTAATTTCTCAAAAGGTATCTGAACCGGTTTTAACCATTTGAGATCCTAACTCTTTTAAAGATTATTTAATAATCAATTTTGATTGGTAGGTATCACTAAATATTTTATTGACATTTTTGTATATTACATAGGATTTATTTTTTCTCCTTTAGACATAATAGAAGGGAATCTCGAATATATTTTAATTGTAAAAAAATACTTTTCTTTATTAAATTTTATACTAGAGGGCTCAAACACTGGGTTTTAAAGATTCAAACCTAACCGATCCATGAACCGTTATTTTTATCTGAACCAGAATTAATATTCGTCACGGTTTGGAATGAAATATTTTATAGGAGGTAAAATAATCCTGAAAAAACCTCCATTAAAATAAAATCCGTCTTTTTTATCAAATTTCCACTTAAGATCGAATAATAAAGGCATATAGTTTGGATTATAATTTTACATTATAATGGATCGCACTCTTTATAAGGTATAGAAAGATTAAAAAAATATATATTTTAATTATAATATTATAAAATAATATTTAAGTCGAAAAAAAATTATTAAAAAACTTATTTTATTAATAAATTAAATTTTTTAATGGTTCTAATTCATCCTGGAAAAGTAATAAATGAAGTTTACTCATACACACCATAAAAAATGCTTAAAAAGATAAGATGGCTTTGCTCAATATACTCATCTTTTAAATGTCATATAATATTATCATCAGAACTCCTAAATCAAGATCCGGTACTTGAAAAAGATCCATCACATATTAATGGACTAGCGGTAATAAAATGCGTTGCCAATGTGAAGAAACGATGTGCAGACTCTTTAGCAAAATCTTTTCAAATTTATGAAGTTGTTATAAAATTAGATCATAGTGTTTATCAAAAGAGTCATTTAAAATAATTCTAAGTAATCATAAGGCAAAACACACTTCAAATCGTGAGAATTTATAAGACCTAGTTATTTGGATTTTGAAAAGTCTGCTATGAGCGTAACTAAAACTATCATTAGTATTTATTAATATATATTTTTTTAATTAGGGGATCATACCGTAATCAGAGGGTGCCCTTGATATTTGTGTCAAAATACAAATTGAAAAATTCAGAAACTAGGCCTGGGAGGGTTGATGGAACTCTAAGCTTCTTTTGAGGCATAATTGACGGCTCAGCCTTTGTTCAATTATGCGATATGGCCATTGCAATGATATTCCAAAGAATGGTACTCCTAACAATGGAAAAATATTCTCAATTATTTTGATAAATCAATGGAGTACTAAGGGAGGTCGCAAGAGACAATTTTTAGTCCTAGACATCTCTTTGAGCCTCGATATCCACTAGAAATTTGGAACGTTCAGAGTACCCTAACTGACAAAGAACGCACAAACAATCAAAGTGAAGGTTGGAACAATGGTTTTTCTAACCTAGTTAGAAATAAACACCCCAATCTGTGTATTGATTAAAAAAATGAAACCATAAAACTGGAACGATGGCGTGTTGGTAGATGGACACCGATTACAAAATCTCAATTATAATACCCAAGTACGGATAAAATGACTTTGCGAGGAATAATCTTGATAGGGCGTCATTCCAGATTTGATAAAAGCGATTGCTGTTAATATTAGATGTCAACTAATATCATAATAATTATTAAATTTAATATATAAATAATTATGCCTTACCTGATAAAATAAAAACATCTTATTACAAAATTTACTCAAGCTTAGTTTATTAAATATCATGAATGATTATTATATTGAAAAATATAATTATAGGAGATAATTATTACGCAAATAAAAAAAATTTTCCGGGGGTTTAGTTAAAGGAAATTTTTTCTTGGGTTTTTTTCCATAGCGTATTTTCGGCAGTTTTTTTCCATCGCCAAAATACATATATACATATAAATTAAATGAGCTATTTTAATTAAAAAAAATATATAATTATAATGCCATGTTAAAAAAAAATATATATCCTTAATTTATGGATAATAAGATACTTATCTCACATATTGATACCGATATATAGCTTAAAGAAATATCATACAAACCTATAAAAAAATGTTTGACGGTTGGTTTAAAAGTACGAATAGACTATTTCAGGGTTAATAGATTTATAATGACTGAATTTTCTATTTCAAGATATTGCGTACAATTTTAGTCTATTCAGCTATTTATTTAATATAACATACATAAATATTTTTCATCTTTAATCTATGCTGCCATAATTTAATATTCTCAAAAAGGCGACATTATTTATGATATAATAATATATAATTAAGTTGATAGAGTTTGATACTTTTTTTTAAATCCAATTTATATTAATGTGGTTAGATTATACTTTTTACCAAAGTTATATAAAATACCAACCAACCGAAAATGTGAATTATTAATTTAAAGTTATTTATGAATTGTTTATAAAAGGTCTTATTATGTGCTTTGAGATATTTTTCGCAACAATCAAATTGTTAAAGTCATTGACAAGACTTGTCAAATTTAAAGGATCGAAAAAATGTTCACAAAATGTTTTACATGCTATTATAGTATATGCCAATTATTTGAGCAATCATCAACCTCCTATATTTTCGATTGTTCTTTGAAAGGGTTTACAAAAGGCAGTAAAAATTATTTAGAGTGATCAGACCAGGTTTGGAAAATAAATTCGGGAGACCTGCCTGACTTATAAAGTATTTTAAATAATCTCTGAAAAGGGGTACCCCAGAAATTTAATTGACTATTTTAATAAACTTTATGTCGTTGCTATATTTTTCCTTAAGAAGCCCATTAGGATTGATTAATTTTCCATGATCCAAACCGTAAAAAATATTGGTTCGGTTCACGTTTAAATAAAAATAATGATTAAGTTCGGTTCGTAAAGAATAATAATACCGGTTCGGTTTAAACCTTTTAAAACGGTTCAAACCTTTTCTCAAACAAGTGTATTAGAATTATGTTAAGGAAAACACATTTTTATTTTATCACTATTCTCTTAAAAAATAATATTTAACCGTATACGATTAAAATATTTTCATAATTCTCCTTTAAATTATATCTAATAAATTTTATGGCTGAGAACACTTCTATGAGCTAACCTGGGTAGCTAGCACCGTCAAATAACAATGTATAAAAAGTTGTAAAAATAATTACTGATACATATCAGTTAAACTGATTTTTAATTCTTAAGAGTTAGAATATCAAAGGGTTCAAACCAGTTTACATATCTTTTTTGAGGTTCGGGTGACAAATTTTTAACCGTTCAGGTTATGTAAATAAATTAATACAGGTTTAACGGTTCGGTTTGAATCTCTGAATTTTATTGATAATAAAAACATTAAAAAAATACAAAGCATAAAATAAGTTATATATCAATTTTAAAAATTTTATTTAATCTTTAACATAATATTTTCCAAAAGGTGTTCCGTCATTTTAGAATATTTAAAATGAACGCATGCCAGTTCAAGAATCTACATGCTTTTTTGTCTTCAACCAAACCCGAACCAAACCTGGTCTAAAATTTTAGCGGGCTTACAAGTTTGGGTAGTACAGATTTCTAAAAATAATATTGTAAAAAATCAAATTAATACAAAATAGCAATTGTAAGATTAAATTGTCCAGTGATATGTAATAAAGGATTTATTCAAATTATCATTATGATAGTATAAATTATATCAAAAATGAGTAGTTACACTAACAAGATAGGTGGGTTATTTATTTAATATATAAGAAGGTATCTGCTGTTATGATGTATTTATATACCATTAATTAGATCGCATATACTGCATAAGTAAAGTATGTAATGTTAATTGATATATTAAATCTAAATAATATTGTTTTGATAAAGTACTAATCCTATACAATAATTTAACAAATTTTAATAAAATACAATTTAAAGCTCAAACCAAACGATATACACACTGAAATTTATCAATTATTTTTTGGCTCAAACAATGAAAAAATCTTCCCCGGTGCTAACAAAAGAAATTTCAATATTAACTCATTATTACATGATGGAGTATCACCTAGTGAAGAATCTGGCATCAACAAGCATGCCAATCTCTTATCGCCATGTTCATCGCTCAAAGCTCTGGAAGAAGAAAAAACATATATTATACCTAAAAATTTTATACCATGTAAAAAGTTAAGTAAAAAATTACACCAATTCGAAATGGACTCATATCAAACCAGTGAATCTATATATAACTTTACCGATGAGATTAATCTAAAGCCGGTAGAGAGATTGGTGCAGCGTAAAAATAATTTTGATCCGCGATACAGGGATTCCGAAACAATTGACAAAAACATTTCATCGCCTGTTACTAAATATATAACAGAAGTTGATTATGTGAATCTAAAGATTTCAAAAGATAATTATTGCGTAAACGATATCAAAGCACATAGCTCACATTATATCCCTTTAGATGAGGTTGATAAAATGTTTAACGGTAATCAGAACATGTTAGATACGCATAGAAAAATAAATGGTTATTGCAGTGAAAATATATTCGTAAATATTGAGAATGATAAGTTAATCGTGAATATTAGTAATGGCCCCCAGATTGTAAACAAACATTATGATTCAATTGAAAATGGTGATGGTGTAACCCCTACCTGTATCTTATCTCACATAAATGATTATACTGGGCTGAAGATAAAAAACGAGTTCAACTTTAAAAAGAATAGATACAGCATAGACGAGATACTTAAAACTACAGAAGCTAATAAAATCAATATTTTTTCTAGAACGAATGAGAGGGTGTATAGTTCCATACCCTTTAGCAACATATCCCCCTTCAATAATAAAGGTAACAAGAAAAAACATAATTTTAATAAGGGTCCACTAGGGTCACTCTTTACAACATTTAAAGCAACTAACAGAAAACTTCAATCCAATATTTACAATAATTATGTCCCCGAGATTAACTACTCTTATCCTTACTTATTTCCATCAGTATTACCGCGACATAGTAAAAAAATGCTCAATCCTTACCAAGCTTTCATTGCAAACGAATCGTTTGTTCCAAGCAGCCTTCATGGCAGCCATACACACAGTATTCATCAAAGCCCTCTCTATGATAATTTGTGGAAATCAAACAATATACCTATAAATTTTAACGATAGCCTTGTATCATCGATGTTCACTTCGGAGGACTTGAAGAGATTAAATCTCTCTCAATCAGCTTCAAATTCTTTGTATTCCTGCACCACGTCGAATTTATCAACAATACCGCATTCTATCGAGACTTCTGAAGATAAATCCACAAAGAAACGAGGCAGCAAAATTCAGTTTTTTAATGATTGGAGGTTAGAGCGCGATAAGTGTGGCCGATTTACTAAACACAACAACTATACAAGCCACAGGAAAGAGTTATTAGAAAAGTTGAGAAACGGCATTACCCTAAAGTGCGAATTATGTGGACAAACTTTTCATTCTCTCAAAGGCTACATCGATCATGAAAACAAATTGCCCTGCATGAAACGTTCCACAGGTTCCGGAAAAAAGAGGGGACGACCCCGAAAAGTCGGAGGTATCATGATTTTGGCTAGGGACATGAAGAAAATTGTCAAAAATTCTGAAAGAATGAAGTATCATCAAAACTCAAAACCTCACATTATAGGCGAAAGCTATTGTTATCTTGGAAGTCAAGGCAATTATATGCATAATAGTGTCACTAATGTTAATGCCAATTGTAATGAACATAAGTATTTTCCTTGCAACCCTCAACGCCACTTCCCTTTTTATCCAAATTGGTTTCCCTATTTTATGTATAATACTTCTCACCCGAACGAAAATCTTTTTCAACATTGGCCCACTTATTACCCCAGGAGTTTATATCATAAAAATATATCTAATTCTTGTAATTATAACCCTATTAAGACACATGCAGAGTTTATTCATACCCCTGGATGGCGCTCGTCTTCCTCTGTTTTACATTCTTCTCAAAATTAATGTATACATTACATTCAACCTTACATTAACCCACTTCAGAACTAGCTCAATTATCATACCCATTTTAACTCTAAATTATTAATTTTTTTAGTATAACAAAATTGAGTCACCTGATTAATTGAAATATACTTAATCTTTTATGCATGTAATTCGAAAATTATCATTATTTTAAATTAGTAAAACACGTTTTCGTTTAATTTTTATCATTATTATAGGATAAAAATATTAAAATTAAATAACGAATTCGACATTTTATCTAAAGATCACGTTTTTATATTTAAAAAAAAACAGTTTCCATAATAAACCAACCAACACCTAGTCGCATCATATTTTTTTAATATACATAAACGAACACTAAATTTTTATTACATATTATACAAAAATTTACCATCAAAATTAGTATTATTTAGCATAAATTTTTTTAAATATTATATTTTGTAAGTCGATTATAACTTGTCACAAAAAATTTATATATATGAAATTAAATTATTGTGAAATTCAAAACAAATAAAATTTAATTCTGACTATACATTCCTTAGGGATTTATTGGGAAAATTAATTTACATATAATTACTTTTACTACTATACACACAATTTGAGCTAAATTAATACAAAAAGTGATAATTCAAAAGAATGTTTCTTGTAGAGGTGATGGTGATAGAGAAAATCGGGACAAAATGGCAAGGATTTTGTTTCTTTTCCTAATAATGTTTTTGTACAGATCAAAATTTAAAACAATTATATCCTTAGGTAACACGAGCATTGCTTTAGATTAGTAAAGATAATGGTTCGGAACAATTTGGAGCCTATTTTAAAAGACAGAACTGATTCTAGAGATAAAACGGGAACTGATTCTAGGTAAACAGAACTGTAGACCGCACAGACAAAACTGGAACGTGGTCCGGACTAATGATGCGAAGAACTGGAAATATTAAATTATGACGATTGTCTTGATACCAACAACTTTATAACTATCAGAGACCCTGCAGCGGTACTATTTGCACGGCTGGGCCCGAATTTATAAAAATCTGTTATGTGTAATTTATCATGTTTTGTTTTATATAGACATTCAAAACCTTAAAAAATTTAAACTGGGCCAATTTTTAGAAAAAAATCCGGGCCCAGCCGTGCAATAGTACCGCTGCAGGATCTCTGATAGTTATAAAGTTGTTGGTATCAAGACAATCGTCATAATTTAATATTTCCAGTTCTTCGCATCATTATTTTTAGAAGGTATATTATTAAAACGAAAATAATCACACTCTTCAAAAGACGATGAATTTGATTGTCAAATGTATTAACCTTATCCTTAAAAATAGCAAGCGCTTTATCAAGCAACAGATTCTGCAAATATTTTTTTTATCGTCATTATCAACCAATCTAATTCTAAAACAAAGATTTAAAATAGTGGTTAAAAAGCCATTTTAAATTCATAATTAAATTAAAAATACTTTCAAATCTTTCATTCAACCAAAATTCGATGGGATGAACGAGTGGTAAGCAAAAATGAATCGGGTTGATGTAAATCATTTATACTTGTTTTTATAACAAATAAAATTGAAATCCACTCCCTAATACAAAATTTTGGACCTGCGTTTATCAATAGCTATTGCTAAGGGATACATTGCTTTAGAATATTCCTCAGAATTATCTTTTAAGCCATTATTGGTGTTATATTAAAGCAGAAGAAATCTATAAACATTTTTTGAGATCTATTTATAAGTATTATTATTAATGTTAATATATTCCTGAAAAAATTGAACAAATTATTAATTGGGGAAGATATCATTATGATTAATAATTATTAGTGGGAGATTAAAAAAAAATGTTTTAATAGTTTAAGTGGGATTTAAATTAAATATTTAACCTTTTAAATTAAATAAACATTTAGATATATAAAATAATTAAAAACATCTGTAGCTTTTTCTTATTAAATAGTTAAAAATACAGCTCATATTAAAAAAGTATTTAAGATATAGATTCAAGTTACTTTTTTAAAATGCATGCAAGGAATACAAAAATATCTTGTTTAAAATACAAATATTTGCGATATTTCCTAACCCTGAATCTAACATACATATTGTTAAAGTACGTACGGAGACTTAAAAATTTCTCGAAATTTAACCATTTGAATTTCCTAAACCTAACCTTAAATATTTTATCATAGTTTAAATTTATATGATAGATTTAACACAATATATCAACAAAAACGTAGAAACTAATTTTGTGTAATAAAACTTAAATAGATTCTGAAGCTTCTTAATATTGTTTATACTTATGATATAATTATAAAAGGATAATATATAATTTCTATCGTTCAAGCTGGAGATCGATTTCAAAAGCCAAACCGCAAAACTGATTTTAAATAGCGAGTCGCGGGTCGGTCTAAACCGAGAAAACCGCGTTATTGACCTACTATTTTATAATTATATCTCTAAAATATAAAATTACTTAAAATAAGGCTTATTAAAACTTGACTTTAACTAATTAAACTGGTAAGCGGAAGATAATTCACTGGGAAAAAACCCATTTTTTTTTCTTGAAGAGGGGGGATAGTTATTTTTGATAATTTTATAAAATTTCAGAATATTTTCCTGGAGAATTAATCATCTTCCGTAATACGTTTACATTATAAATTTACTCATTCATCGTATTTCTATTTATAAGTGATGTTCAAAAATATTATAGGATTTGTTAAATTTTATATGGGAATTTTCGTTAAATTTTATATGGGAATTTTAAAGGTAACAAAAATAATTATAAACTTCATAAGGAAATATTGTCATAAAAAAACTTTTATTATATTATGAATTAATTTTTATAATAAATTATATTAATATGAAAAAAATGTATATTCATTTGACAAAGTAAAGAATTAAAATATAAATTTAAAAGACTGTTTGATAAAATGAACATTTAAATTGAATAAAAATCAAAGGATTTATAATAAATATTATTTGTAAATGCTCCGCAATATATTGTATATTAGACCGGGTCCCCGAATATGATTGAATTTAAAAAATACTGAATTAAAATGCAAATAAACATTATATTAAATTACAAGATTTTTCATCTAAAGATAAAACTCATCAAAGGACTAGAGTTGTAATATAAAATAATATTTTTTATTTTTATAATGTCAATCATTTAACATTTAACTATTATTTTGGTATTTGAAAACATTTTGCTTATTTTATTTATCCGCTTGTTCCTTTAATAGATGGAGAGATCTTAAAATGATTGTTAATTTAAGCTAAATAAAAATATGAGTAAACTAACGCGAACGTGACTAAAAAATATTTAAAATATTAGATACGATGTTGTTTATCAAAAAAGAGATCAATTAAACATATAAAATATTTGCAAAATTTAAAAAAATATGATATTTAGAAACTTTGGCAAAGAGTATGATATTGAATATATTATATGATATAATGACTTTAAACATGTTTGATGAGAATATATTCAACTTTGAACGATTTGATTTTTTTTATGAAGAATTCTTTTAAGATCTTTGGACATATAATATGGTTTTTGAGGACTTCCATCATTCCTCTCGCAATCTTCCACTGTCATAATATATAAAAATAATTATCAAAATGGGTAAGTGATCTAATGTTTGTGATAAAGATGATCTAAAGGTAACTAGTATATAGAGGCGTAATCAGGATTTATCTAGGGGGAGAGGAGGTTATAAATTTTTTTCGGGCCCGAAGGCCCCAAATCTCCCTACACTCAGCCTTAGACCGGATACCACCCTTTGAAAAATTCTGCTGAGGTATATTTGTTTAAAATTTCGTATTTTATTATTTATTAAAAAAAACTAGTAATATTTTTTATCATCTGAGTGAAGTTGGCCGAACTATTGGAATCTATAATTCTAAAATTTGTTTCAATGTTTTGTGCTAACCAGCATAGTGTTATATAATAACAGAAAATTATTGTAGTTTATGTTGATTATATCCTGGAAGTAATTGTAAAAGAAAGAGACATAAATATCGATATAAATAATTATAAAAAACAATTATTATTAGTATTTATGAAATGATAATTTTTTAAAATATTAGTAACAAAATTTTGGCCAACGATTCAAATGGACTGAAAGCATATATTTTGCAAGTTTTATCAATGTTTATGCTTTATTATTAGCATATTGTTTAATCCATTTTGGCATTATACTAGATTGGAAAATATATAATAGCTAAACATCTTGTTGGCACTAATATTTAGTTCCTGAATAGTATTATTAATCCCTCAAACAATTTGGCCGACCACAAAAAGAAACGAAATTTAACCAAAATGAAAACTATGGCGTCATGCTCTAAACGTGAAAGTAGCTAAACTATTGAAAAAACTCCATATGAAATTTCGACTTAATCATTAATAAGTAGTTATTAATTAGTATGTTTTGGTGCTTAATTCGTCTGGTAGTTGGTTTATTTAAAGGAATAAAGATTTATTAGTAAAATAAGAAAAGAATTGTTAAAATTGGCATCGTGCCATAATAGAAAATATATAAAAATCTTAAAAATCTGGTTTACGCTAATATTTAATGCCTTATATGATAATTCATCAGTTTGGCAACCACAAAAAAAATCTAAAAACTAATATAAAAACTATATTATCATGCTTTGTGAGTAAAGTCGTCAAACTAGCAGAAGCTTCCTATATATAAATAAGAATTCATATTTCGGGCATTATAGTGCTTTTTTGGCAGATGGTTTAAAAAAAACGGATGATTGGCAAAATAAGATAAAATTGCAAAGATTGGCATCATACTAGAAAATTAAGAAGCACTTAATATCAAGGTTGGGCAAGTATTTAATGCCCAATTAGTACGTATTAATTCATCAGTCAGTTTAGCCATTACTAAATAGAAACCAATTATAAGCAAAATAAAAACTATATTGTTGCTCTTGCAGCATCTTAATATCGGATTCGCGATTCAATAAATTATTCTAAATACATCAAGGTGTTGAAATATTATTAAATCTTATGATTTTTACAATTTTTAGATGTTATTTGTTATTTATATTTATTTAATAGACATAGAAATCACATAGTTTATATCTTATATGAATAGTTTATTTTCATTGATATGATTCTGAATTTCATATAAAGATGCAGCCTAAGTCTAAAGTATAAGCCATTATGTATGTAATGCCTAATTAATCTATATTTTCGGTTAGTGCTTGACATAAAAAAGTTTTAACAAAATAATTTTTTTTTAGAAAGTTGGTATCAAGATTCAAGAATGAACGAAAAATATAGAAGTATTAAAAATATTTATAATAAAATTTTTCAGTTTTTGATCAGATTTAACCCCCTCCATTTTTTATGGAACTGCCAGTATATCTAAAACAAATTATTCTTTATGCGATTAGTACGAATAACATTTGAATTGAATAGGAATAATAAAAAAATCGTTCGCGATTAGTATTGTTAAGTATTTAACATATTCCCTTCGCAACTTTTCATTTTTTTAAAAAAATTTATACCTATATCTATAAATCTTTTTTTTAAATTTAATAATCCAGTTTTTCTTTCTAAAATATATTTTTTTAATGTAATTTTAGAATTAAATCCAAATATTTGCAGAATGGAATATGAATAATGAAAATATTGGAATTATTGTAGGTCTAGTGATATGACTAGTAAATGACAATTTGGCAAAATATATGGGCACTTTAAAAAAATTTACATATATTTTTTTTAGAGAAAATAAAATAAATGCTGCTTACGGAAGCACAGAAAAAGAGTATCCACTGCCATTTCGTATACACCGAAAAATATCCTCGAAACAAAATATGCACCAATTATCTGGACCTGCAATAAATATAGAGGGGAAAAAAAATAGTCTGTTATTTATGGCAATAAAATATACGTGTAAAATAAAATGTCTGCTAATATGATCGCATAAAATTATTAAGTAGTAATAACTAATAGCAAGTTACACTTGAAGTAGGTTTTGTATCACTACGAATTTTAAATAACACATATTTTAAAATGATATCCTACTATTTATAATGATTATTTAATTAAAAAAATATTAATTTTGTTGGTTCTTTTTAGTGTTATTTCAAAATAATAAAAAGTATTAATAATTACTAGTTATTTTAAAATAAAATCAGTTATTCGAAAAAACATTTTAATAATATAACATGGCATAAAGTAAATTATTATACCAATCCGAGTTAAACTCTTAGTTACAACATTTCATAACGCAGGGGTATTATAATATCTTATAAGCTATAAACAAAATTTACTTGAATATTTAATAACAGAAAAATAAATGTTTGATAAAAAAGATTCGTAATGGATTAAGGGGTGAGTTTGCGCTCAATCTTACTATTTACATTAATATTTATTAGTTTAAAAAAAAATTTATATAAAGAAATTGATTACCGCCATGGAAAACTGCCAAACTCTGAATTTAGGTAAAAGTTGTGAAACATCGGATTGAGTGTTGTGCAAAAAGTAAAAGAAATATCCTTTAGAAATAATAAAGAAGAAAAATGTTATATAGTTTGTTGGCCAAAATAAAATTTATTTCCTTCTTTTTTTCAGTAAGTTTAAGATAACATGGCATAAATTAGAGACAATCAAGTTTTTCAATTATATAGAGTAATAATTTGATCCTAAGGCAGAGATATACCAACCACCGATATATCTAGTTTTAGCCGTAGGAAGACGAAGTAGAGCCCTGCAAACTCAATTTTATTTGACCTGAGCCCGGGCCGAAATTTTTAAGCACAATCATGGCACAAAATTTTTATTTGAGCCAGAGAATAGCTTTAATTTTCATTTTATGCATGCCCTGCCAAAATTTTTAGCTAAAAAAATATAAAATAAAGATATTTTTATCAAGTTAAATATAATCATTAATTGTTTTGTCCTAATTCAAGAGAAATTTTAATTTTTATTTTAATAAAAAAAGCAAAAACATCATTTTCTACTTTTATTTTTTTTAGAATTTTTTATATCTTTTAAGCCTGAACTCAGCCTAGCCCGTTTTTGTCCAGACTAGTTAAATTTTTTAAAATTTTGAGATCGAACCGGACAGAATTGCAAGGTCCTAAGACGAAGTATCGGGCCGATACCAGCATACTTTATTATTTTTTCAACCCAGTCTAAAATTTTTGTAATTTTTTTATATAATAAATATATAAAAAAAATTAGTTATCAATGTTACTTTTATAAATAATTATTATGGAACTTAAAATAATATACTCTAATAAAAATCAATATTACAGCAAAGAGGCTTCTACGTAAACTATCAATATCCCCAGTTTTACTGAATAATTCTTGCGATATAACCCTAGCTGATATTACTAAGCAAAGTCGGGCTAATACCAACAGAGTTGGGAATCTAATTTTATTAACCTGCTATAATTAAAAGTTGCTTCAAAATCGTATTCCTTTATTAAATTACAAACCTAATATTCAATCTATCAATGAATTTAAAAGGAATGAAGGGGCGAAATAAATAAAAGTTTAAAAAATTGCGGTATCGCCATTGGTATAGGTAAAATTATTGGCATTGATTGATATATGGTATTGGTATACTTCTGCTCTGACCTAATATAATGCGGTTAAAATAAAGTACTTTCCTAATTTGTATAAAAAAATATGTTCCTCAAATTGAATAAGGAGAAATTGAATATTAAATGAACATTACCTGTGGTAGCCATAACTACGAGTTGTCCCATAAATAATAAGAAATCGGTGGTATGATTGATTACTACTACCCTATTAAAATAATATATTAATTATAATAACAAGCTAAGAGTTGCTAGGAGTATTATAAGTATTAAAATATCGTAAAACTCAAGATATATTTTTGATTTAATTACAATACACAATTCGATATTTTAAAATATTTATCCAAAAATTTTCTAAAAAATATATTTGAAATTAAAACATTTTATATTAGGGTTGTCAGAGAGCCTTAGCGTAATTGGCATGTCGTGGGGGGGGGGTAAAGAGGAATGTTCGGTATTCAGTTACCACGAGAGAATTTAAGATAATATTTATAAGTAAATAAAATTATATATAGAAGCAAATTGTCTATTTGAGTATCTCCCAAAAAATTATTATATTAAAAAACACTGACTATTTACGCAAAGAGGCACCCCAGAGTTATCTCCTGAAATTTCAATGAAGCAATTGCATTCTAATTCCACTCCCCGTATTAAGGATCCTGCTGCCTATAATCCCCTTTAAAAATTTTCGTAAACATCATTTTAGGTGGATAAAATTCCGCCAATATACTCTTAGTGCCCTCCCCCTCCAGTGAATACATTATGCCATTTTAAACAATAAAAAATTTTTAAAAAGTATGTTGATAATTTTATCATATTTTCTCCTATAATTATCTCTTCTTAATATGTTATACATAATATTTTTAGTATAGATATATATATTTTTATTGTGCATATATATTTTCTTTTTTTAAAATAGTTTATCAATATGATCAAATAAACACAAAATTATAAATAGTTAAAAATAAAACCAATTCAACTTTTTTAAAGAATAATGATTATAATAATAAAAACCTTTTTCTAAAGTGTAAAACCAAAATTGTTATTCATAGTAACACGGCCAAAGGTTTGAAAAAAGCGCCATAAACCCCTCCAGTTAAATTATTTAAGGGGGGCGTGACCAACCGCCCATATGAAAATTCTGATGATGTAATTAATAACTATAATAAATAATGAGGTGGCATTGAATTAACCTGATAACGTTTCTCATGAGGAGCGAAAACGCATCAGCGGCCGATTGACAAAAATTTTTCCCATGTATAGCCATCTAATTGGAAATAGCAAAATGTTTATCAACTTTTCAAAAATGATATTTGTTAATTTGATAGTGAATAATATATTTTATAAAAAGCAACAAACACAAAACACTATTATTCAATGCAAAGAGGTTGTACATTAACAATAAATAATTCAAATTGGATTAAGCATTATATTACTATACCATTATGAAAGCGTTTTTGTTGAGAAAACGTAAGAATTTTTCAAAGATCCAAAAGAGACATCGAATGCACCTTAAAAGGCAAATGAGCACAGAATTACCAGATTTTTCACATTTATCTTTCAGGTACTCGAGAAACAATCTGATCATCTTCGTGATAGCTAGAAGGAGAGAACCAAAAGCTAACGAACCAGCGTGATATCTAAAATATTTTTTTCAAACAATTCTAGTAGAAATCCCTAGAGAAATTGCTTATTTGTTGCTGATAATCTAAAATTACTAAAACCAAAAATGATTGTATTTTGAAAAGAAAATAAATAATTTAAAAATGAAATTGATTTACTTTTTGCTTTACCATTTTCAACCCGTTTAGCTATATAAAAAAATTATAACTTTGTTATATGCATATATGGTTCATTGTTCAGAGGTGGAGTGGAGAAGAGGCCTTCACGGCCTCATAATTATAGTTGATGGAATTCACATATTAGTATTGAATATTTATCTTCCTATTTTACCATCTTACTTTTCTTCTTAATGATGAAACTACGTATTTAGTCTTATGGCCAGTCCACGGTTGACTTGGTATTTTAATATTTCTTATAATGTCATTAGCTAATAATTAATATATTCTAAAGAATTTCATTCACAATTACTATATATGATATTCTAATAATTACATGCAAGCCAAGCTGAAAGAACGTATCATAATGAAAAAGGGGACATCACGCCTTTTGTTGCGGGCCCAGTAATAGCTAGAAAATGCCCCTGCCAGAGTAATCTGATTCAGCGCGTTAACAAAGAATATAGTCCAAAACAAACCGAATAGATTGAAAATTTGCATGTAAATGTACCAACTTTGATGATGAAAAAATGAGAAGAATTTGTGAATATTTTTAATAAAAACATTATCAAATTGTTCAAATTAATAGGGAGTAATTTTGATAAAAATTTTAGTTGATAAATTTTTTTTATTTCTTCCATATATATATAATAAATTTAATATAATACAAAAAATAGATTACGGGTGCTGTTCGTAATTTACAAACTGACAGGCTGCTAAAGTTTTGGTCGGATCAATACCCATTTTGTCGAGTTGTTTTTTAAATAACTTTCGGAAAATAGAAACGAGAAAAAAAATATAATTATGGTGTTTCTGTTTATTTATATTAATATTTTCAATATAATAAGTTTTTGATACCGCATGAATGCAAACGATTAAACCTTAAATTAAGAAACAATCGATAATTTCAAGAGAAAAAAATGGTATCTACTAAGTAAATAAGAGAAGAAGGGTCGATAAATAAATGACAAAAGAAAATATCGAATGTCAAAAAAAATATTGCTCACCTTTAATAAAACCTAATTTATTTATTCCCTTTTAAAAGTTTAATAATAATAATTGTAAACTTTATATTTTTCCAATTTACGTTAAATTTGCAATTTGCTTTGGCATATTTCATTTTAATTTCTATTTCCACAAGAAAAAAAATTAAAACAATTTGGTATTTAGGCTAAGCCCACAGAAGTTTTAAAATTTTAATGAAATGGCACGTTAAATTTTTGAAATTTTCTAGAATTATATTTTGGGCATGTTTTTATTTTTATATTAAAAGAAGCATATATATATTTTTTTGGTAATAGGAAAAAAAACCCCCGAAAATAACCTCCTCCCTTAAAAATTTCATATCATTTCTAGCAAATGTGACACTTAAAAATAACACTTTTGAAATTTTCTCGCATAAGATAGGATATCTTTCACGAGATCTTCTCACATGTTATCGGAAGAATCAATAATAAGAATTCTAAGTAATCATAAGGCAAAGCACAACGCTTCAAATCTTAAAAATTTGCAAGGCCTACAGAAGTTTATTTTTGCATTCACCACTGTAAATCTTCCTTTTCCGAATCAAAGGCGAAGTCAGGATTTTGCTGGGGGGGGGCATTATTAGGTGCGTTTTTCCTCATAAGTTTCAGTGGAAATCTTTTGGCCCACTTAGTGTAGTCTTTTGGCTCTATTATATTTAGGTTTTCACTATTTTTTATAAAATTGCTTTTTTTCTGAAGATTTTATATTATATGGTTATTTTTATTATTTTTATTTTCATAAAAATTTAAATATTATAAGTGATTAGGCAAATTGTGGTTCCCAGAACTCAAAAAGATTTGTAGTGACAATGGGCCACATACTGAAGAAAGTATGATCATGTTTGCAACGGATGAATCCTAAATTTAATAGCAAATACGACAGCATGATATTAATGGAAATTTCGCCATGTCTTTAAAATTTTATTTATTTTTTAATTAGGGGGATCACATCATAATCAGAGGATGCTTTACCATTTGTGTCAAACTACCCATAGAAAAATTAGAAGCTATGCCTGGAAACACAGTACCGATAAACTCTAAGCTTCTTTTGTGGCATGATGAACGGCTTAGCATTTGTTCCCTTATGTGATCTAGCCAATGCAATGACATTCCTGAGATCGGTTACTTAGAACAATGAAGATATCCTTGATTATTTCGATAACAATTATATAAATGTAGTATCAAGGGAGGTTGTAAGAGGTAATTCTCAGCCCGAGGCACGTCAAATTGAGCCTTGATTTCCTCCGGAAACCTGGAAAGTAAATAAGAGCAATCTATCTGACGAAAAACGCACAAATGATCAATGTGAAGAATGGAATCATCGTTTTTCTAATCTGTTTGGAAATAAACACCCATCAATCTGGATATTAATTTTAAAAAATAAAATGCGAAGAGGCTACCAATGAAACCAAACTTGAAGTTGGCGTGTAGGTAGATGGTTACTAAATAGCAGTTATAATACCCAGAAATTCGTGATAGGTCCGAAGCGTATATTTTATAAGATCGATTTCTTGCAATATTTGATGTCAACCTATTTAATTATTATTCTAACTTAAATTTGTATATACATAATGGTGATTTACCAATAAAATAATTATATCTTATTATAAAATTTGGTCTACTTAATATCGTAATAGTGAATGGATATTGTATTTATTACAATAGCAAATAATTTTTCCAAAAATAAGAAATACATGGGTTATTTTATGGGGGTATTTTTTTCCTAGTAACAATTTGAACATCACCATTTTTATCTTGTTTAAGAATTTATGGAGGCTATATGAGTAACATCAAATAATGAATAGGGACAATATTATAATTATAAAATACTAATTTGTCTATATCTTATAAAGATGGGTGTATATCCATTAAATAAAATATGCTTTTATTATTAGGTCTTTAGTAAATTTTATAAACATGGAAAAAAAATTCAGGAGGAAATTTCAAAAGTTTGCGAATGGTATTTTTTTATATTTTGGATTAGTATATGAAGTGTTATTTATTGTTTTTCATCAATTAATCTTCACTTTTAATCTCAGCTAAGGATAATATCTAGAGGAAAATTAGTGGGTTTTTTTGACGATTTAAATCGCGATTAAAAATAAATATTTCATTGACAATATACAACTTTAGATTTTAAAATTTGAAATAAATAAATAATAAAAGCGAGGGTATAGAACATGTCAAATTTTTACAAACACATCTTATCAATTTTGGTAAATAATTTTAATTCAAAATTTTAAAAATATTCACTTATTATTTATAATAATTTTCATAAAATCTATATTAAAAAATAAATCATAATAAATTATTTTTATCCAATATTGATTACTAAACTTTGATATATTTAATAAATAAAATAATAGGTTAAAAATATTGATTCACATCTTTATTTTTTTTAAACAGGGCTGATTTAGATCTGACAATGTTAATACTTAGAAGAATAAAAGCCCTATTTACAAAATAACTTGTCAGAAATACATTGTTTATTAAATTAAAGATCATTTGAAGAAAAACTAAATTAATTATTAACCTTTAAAATATAAAAATATTTTTTTAAATAAATCTTAAAATTAATATTTTTTTAAATAAATCGTAAAATTAATATTTTTTTAAATAAATCTTAAATATTTTACAGAAATACCACCTGAGGATCACATTGGGTAAAATTAGCTGTATAGATAACTCCATTATTTTGTCCATATATATCCTGTAATCTGGGATTGGATGCGTACAAGGTTCTATTCCAGGAGTCTGGTATATTGACAGTTTGATAATAAGCGAAACCAGTCGAAGCTAAGCAGATGCAAAGAGCAGCCCAAAATATGATTATGCAAATTTGTAAGAGGAAAGGGATCAATGGCCAAAAGAGCGTCGTGAGCATAACTGCTATGGCTCTACACTTATAAAAAAATCATTTAAATTTAGGATAAGAAATATTTTTTTTAAATATAAATTTATTTATTTTTTAATAACTTGCTGGCTTCTCGAATCAGGGCTATAGCTATCCTCAGCCGAGTTAAAAATATCAAAGTTAGAATGATCACTAAGACTAAAAAGCTGGAAAGTATAATACCTGTATGTAACATAGCAGCATTAAATATTGTTGATTATATTTATATTAGTACAAGAAAACTCATCCCCTTATTGAAGCGATCGTTAAATTTGTTTAATCCTCGAAAAATATAAATCAATAAAATTGATCTAAAAGGAACCGATCACCTCTAATATATGATTTTGTGGAGATGATACAAAATATCAACTTTACCTATCCGTGATATATTTCTTAACCTAGTATACAAAGTTTTAGTTTTATCTTTTCTACGGGTTATTAACCTTATATTTTGAGTATTTTGTTAATTATATTAAATGCTAAGAGTTTAAATATATTTATATGGATAACTTTTAAACATAAATAATTTTAATTTTCATTGAATAAGCATTCGAGGAATTATTATTATTTCAACACTTTTTTAATTCAAGATTTGACATTTTAATATACTATTTGTATTGATATGATAATAAATAGCATAAATTTTGTTAGGTTAAATGTTCTACAGTGATGGAGATAAATATCAATTATACCAAATATGAGCCAAGTCTTTTCAATATCTTTCTTATCTTTAATAATATCGGCGAATATGTCGTCGGGTTGCATATTTAAAGGTAAAATATTTATGTGCTTTGCATTATTAGGGTACTTAATCCGATACCACGAATCAAAGCAAAAGTAAATTCCTAGAATATATTTATGTTTTAAGACACAATTTAAATGTTATAAAAAAATATAATTATGGAAATTAATATTTAAAAAAGTGACCACGCTTTACTTTGCAAAGAAATGCAACAATAACCAAATCAGGAGCTACCCAAAGGGGGAGGGGGGTGTATGCAATGTATCACTATAAAAATTTGAAAGAAAAATTAGTAAAAGTTATTAATTTTTTTTAAATAAGGGCTATAATTTAAACTTTTTCGGAAAAGACAACTTTAAAAGAAAAAATATGAAAACCCAAAATTATTTTCATAAAAATCTAAATAGACAAAGGCCTACATTAAGTGGATCTAAAGACTTCTAATAAAAATTATGTATAAAACCCCACCTAATAGTGTCATCCCCTCTTAGCAAAATCCTGGGTATGCCTATAAACTTAGTGGTATGATAGTTTAAAATGTAGAGTGATAAACCTAAAAAGACATGAATCTAATATTATTATTCGTATTCAATTTGAATTGGCTAAAAACAATTGATGGGGCTGGTAATAACTAACTTATTGTTAACTAATTACATTTCTTACAACAAACAAGGATCTCCAAAAGGGATATCAACCTTTTTGGTTCAAAAACAAGCATAATATTTTAAAAGGATAGTAAATAATATTTAAAATAATTACAAAAAATCGCTAATTTGTTGTAGCCAAGTTTGTAAAAAGGTTAAATTGCCTATCTCTTAAAACCAGAAATCTTACTTATGCAGAAAATATTATAAAAGGTCGCAAATATTAATTGTAATATTGGGTAAATTTTTCGAATACAGCACGAATTAAGTTAATATAAAAGAAGTCAAAAAACTTTTTACATCAATATATTTAAACGTAATAAAAAAACTGGATTTTTGAGATGAAAAAAAAATGAAATTTTAAAAACTTAAGGTACTACCAAATTGAGTTCGTATTTTGTGTTGTTATATAAAAGATATTTTTATATATCTATATTCTTGTCAAGGTGGAAAATATTATACCTAGTTATAAAGAAATAAATCATCAGAATATAGTTTAAAATTTATTCTTTAAAATCTTAACGATAAAAGGAGCAATCTGGATACACTAATTACATAAGCATATAGAATCCAAGAGTATTAAAATAATTACCAAATGACAACAGTCCGACAACGATAAAAAAGTTGAGGGTCACCATAAATCCAGCTAACCAACGCATTAAAATAATCCAGACCAAGGCTACGGCCATGGAAAAAAATAAGCCGCTATACAATTTTTATAACAATGTTTATAAAATACAGTATATATATTAATCAGTTGGTCGGGCCGGATCTTGATTTAAAATTTTTATTTGGACCAGGCCAGACACGGATTGTGGTAAAAAGGATATAGCTTACTCATTTATTTTTAAACTTTAAAAAGTAAATATTTATGTCATTCTACTTGAGTGGCCCTAGCAGCAGCTAAGTTAACTTAATTTAGCCGTTATAAAACTCACATTTTTCTTGAATATCACGATTAAAAATGAATTTAAATTAGGTGGAGCCGATTGGCAAGAAGTAGAAAAATAATTTGCCATGATTTATTCAGCAGGAAATGAGTTAAATACTCATATTTAACTATAAGAAAATCGCGTCTAAATCCAAATTCTTTATTAAATTTTATATCAAAAAATGCAATTTAATTTAATAAATTTCTTATTCTTTTCTTATATCAGATATTACATTGAAATTTTGTAATAAATCGAAAAAATAGACAAATAAACTAATTATTTTAAAAAATAAATCGACTCAGGAGTCAAATCCACTTTGAAATCAAGTTAAGCATACATTATAAAAGTCATTAGTGGTGTCATTATAAAAAACAATTCACGTGCGTAGAATGAGAAAAAAAAATAAACTATAAAAAAAAGGCGAAATATGGAGATTTCAAAATTTTCAATAATATGAAACTTATATAAAATAATAATAATTACAACCAGCCGATAAAGTTTGGCCATATAGTGTCTACATGAGAGCAAATAATTTTGAGGCAATAAGTACCTACCACCTACCGCTTGTTTGCCTTTAAAAGCTTACCTCCCTTTACAATTATGAAGACTACCTCTCTAGACACTGCCGCTGTTTAACACATCAAGAGTTTTGATTTTGAATTTCGATATAGCCAATTTCTTGCTTTTTACTCTCCCACCGGAATATTATTTGGCGAATTAAAAATTGAATTTATGATAAATTAATTTTTACAAGATATACATCCACCAGAACTGCATAAAGTCTTGAAATATTTGCTGCCCTATATTGTAGACCTTTAAATATTTGGCTAGTTGTCTAAATGTAAAAAAAATTTCACATATAATATGTTTCTAATAGATTTCAAATTTTTTAAAGTAATTAAAACTTTCATGCCCAAGTAGACTATAAAATATTAAAAACTCTCGCTTTAATCATTCTATTTCCCCCTCCAAGCAAGAATACTTCTAAAAAATATCTAATTACCTGGTGCTATTCACGAAATCCTTTTGTGTATAATTGGTGAAAGCATTGGCTTGCGGGATTAAAACGTTGATTAAATCCTTGTCCACTGTGGGTATGCATCTTCCTAATACTAATTGAATATTTATCATATTAAAAACCATATAGTAGAGGTGTGAATGTGATTCAAAAAATAATCCTATTGTGAATATACAGTAATATTTAAATTGTTCCCATCTTTACCAATTTTATTAGAAACCTGCAGGCCTAGATCATGCCTAGGTAAAAAAAAATTTATTCAAAAAAACTATCTATGGAAGAACAGGAAAAGAGTTTTTTTTAACCCATCCGAGAGGGGACTAGCAAAATTAATTTTTTTTCAGCCCAGTGGCAAATTCCAGATCTAGGTCAGGTCTGTTGTGGCTAAATTTTTTAAAAATTTATAGGAAAAAAGCTACAAACTCAAAATATTTATTTTATTATGAATTGTTTACACTTTTTTTATTTTTTAAATTCAATATTATAAATATCAGGCAAAAAAGGAAAAATAGGAAGGAAATATAACATTAATATTATTCAGGCCACAGGCCAGATATTTTGTTACAGCAGGCCCGACAAGGCAAGACTCTACAACTGGGTTAGGTCGGTTTGGTATACCTCTTGGAAATTTCTAAATTATATTAAACTGAATAGCAATATAATGTTGTTTAAAATGTACTTACAGGGAATACTCGAAATGACATATGGGGCACAATATCCCATTCGAACTAAATATATTGGGGTATTCTTAATAAAATAAATAAATGTATTTATTATCATTTTAGACGATTTTTTTAAAAAATACCCTCTGTTTTATATTGATATCTAAATCGGGTTTGCACACCAACCAGCTCTTATCCTGAGTAAAAATAGTTACAACTTTCGTCACATTCGGACATCTTTCTACGCAGACCTATTTCAAATAATATCATATACTTGATGTATCGATCAATAAAATCCTCGTTTGAAGTCTCGATTTTTTTAAAAAAGTGATTATTCCAGAAAGACAAGTAAATAGTACGCTATTGAATGTTAACCTTATAGGAAAATTTTATTCAAAGAAAAACTAAACATATGGTGATGGCATATTTCAGTTAAAAATTAAAAATAATGAGTTAAGTAGATTCTCATATCCCCATCGTAAATTCAAATATCGATTTTCTTAAATATATATATTCAAACTTGTGTAGTAGGACATCCCTTGATTATTGAGATACCCAATTTAGCGCATTGTATGATATCGAAATAGTAAAGAAACTTCTTATCACTTATTATAATAATTTTTAAAAAATATCAGTAATATAATATATTTTCGACATATTATAGTAGCTTAATAAATTATCTATCGAATATAAATGATTGAGGGTGTATTACATGACATATATAATAATTAATTAAATCATCAATTTTTTACCTTAATTCCTCTATTCCGCATTCTTTGCCAGTATAATCAGCTGGATGCAATAATCTTTTGGGATGTCCATTTAAGAAACCTTTACAAAAAAAAATATATATTTGATTAGTTAATAGACTTGTATTTTTTTAAAGTAAATCCAACATGTGGGTTAAAAAAAATGATTTCTCCCACTCGAAGCAAAAAAAATAAAAATTCCAGACCCGACTCAACCCGAATAAATTAATCCTATTTTCCCGACCCTCTTCTTTCCCTCTTTCTCCTAAAGTCAAATATGAAATTTTTGGCCCAAAAATTTATTTATCTATTAAGCATGCCATGAAATGAAAAATACTCGAAAACACACGTAATTGTAAAACATTAACATCGTTTCAGGAAGGAAGTTCCATCACAAGATTTATATATATATAATTTACTGCATGTTAGGCAATTTTTTCGTTCTTATAAACCTGATAACTAAGTTTATGAGTTATTATTCATAAATATTATACCATATAACTATACTCATAAAATCCATCCCACAAAATATTCAGTTATTGTGTTTAAATAATTTAGTTATTTGTATAACAAATACGAATAATAAACAATTATTTGATTAGTAAGAATATAAAACTATTCCACTTCAATTATTTTAGAGGTGCGTATAAAAGATTATTTCAGGAAAGAAAGCATAAATGAATATTAATTTTTTAAAATAATATACAATATCTCTCAAAGATGAATGTTCAGCAATGATTTAACAAGTTGTGTCGATAATTTAGATTAGGTTGGTAGAAGGAAAATAAGTGGCATTACTTTAGTTTGGAGTCTTTAACACATGTGAAGAAGTAACCGGGAAAAAATTAAAAATGGTATTTCATTAAATATTAAGGATGTTCTCGCTTATGTTATCCTTAACACTTTAAAATTATGGGAATACCTTGGCAGGTTATTAAAATAAATATACATCTAGGATTAGAAAAAAAAACTAAAAGACTTTGGGTCTATAGTTAGTGTTGAATAACGGTTACGATGGCAAATTCCTAGATGCGGTTGTCATCCCTGATAAGACAAACAGGGTTGTGAATCCGCACCCAGAACCACAACTTTTTTAAAATAGGTTCAAGGTTCAATACTTTTTAAAAAAAAAAAATTTTTTTTAAATATACTTTCTTTATTTAATTATATATTTTTCAATTATAAAAAATTTAAATAGTATTAAAATATAACATATAAAAAACATATTAAATATTTAAAACAATTGTTTTTTTTCAATATTAAAATCATTCTTCGTGGAATCATTTTTTATATTAGTGTATCCATTTTATGTAAATTTAAATTTTTCGAAATACCGAACCCGAACTGGGTTCAGATATTTTTCACTGAACACAAGCCCTTTTTTTAGAAGGAGGATTCACAGTCCAACCCAAATATATAATAAGGGCTGGGGGAAAATGAAGTTTTTTTTTGAATTTTCACTAACAAAACAAAGATTAAATTTTTGAACCCAAAGAAATAATTTATTGCCAGTTTACAAAAAGATCAAGTTTAAAGGGAAAGGTTGCAAATTGATAAAAAAAGGCCATTTTTTAAAGTTTGTTCAAGCATTTCACTGAATATATACTTCATTAACATATTTTATAAAAATAATGGGAAATTTCATAATCATCTCTCGTCAAAATAAAGGTAATTTTTGAAACAGCCCATAAGATAGGTATATTTTGGATTAATCTATCAAAAATTTTGATTCACCCATCATTCTTGAAGGGCTATATGCAAATATTTAATCTTTTATAAGATAATATAAAATAATCGATTTATTGATTTTAAAATACGATAAGTTGCTAGGTGTCAAAATTAAAAATATAAATTAAAATATATTATATTTCATTTTAAAATGATATTTTTAAGGTTATCTTTTAAAATAATGTCTGAGCTTGGGGATTTCGTTAGGAAGTTAATTTAGATCCTCTTGATATGATATATTACACCAAGTCCAATTTCAGGAAAAAAAAATCTGACTTTTAAGAAAATTAACGTTAATTTCCAAACAATAAAGCGTTATTCGGTATTTTACATATTTCGCGTATATAACTAGGATTCAATATTAATTTAATACCTTGATTCTTAATAAGATTTTTAAAAAAATAGGTATAAATGTCCAAAATAAAATGGCAAATGCAAGAATATTTTTGTTCAATAACACCGTATGATTTTATTTAAATTTATGCTCTAAAAAAATTATCGTTTTAAAATTATTTGCAAAGCAGGTAATTAATAATCTTATCTAACATCATCTATATGAATGGTTAAATATTTTTCGGCTAGGGCAGTGCCGATCCATAAATTTTTCACCGTTCCTATATTTATATAAAACCGATAACCAATGTCATAAGGATATTTTCTAAGGTAAAAAGTAATTGTAAACTATATGCAAAAATGAAAACAATTTTAAATTTTCCATATTTCCAAAAATATGTTATATACTATGACAAATTATTAAGTGTATTGTTGATTTTGTGACTTGTTAAATATTTTTCTTGTTGCAATGCAAAAACAAAACAAAAAATAACATCTCATGTTTTAGAAACCTTTTCTTTAAGAATATTTCGACTTTTTTAAAAAGTACAATTACAAATAAATTAGAATTTTGTTTCTATTCATTTTTTAATAAGAAATTATGATTAAGATATAATCATATATATAATCATAAAACAACCAAAAACAATAATATCGGATCGGATAATTTTAAATATCGGCTGATTTTTTTAAACATTAAATATGGGAACGACAGCCTTAAGTTCGGCTACGTTATTCCTATTCTTCATCCCTTTTTATTATTCATCAAATCATCCTTTAGGTCTTCGACAATCACATTGTTCTATTTTAAGGATGCCCACTTCTGTTTATTTCCAACTTTTAGCCTAGCTATTTCTTTGCGGAGCCTAAAAATAGAATATTATAAATCGAGCCTAATTATAGGTAAGCGTATCTTGCTCTTAAGATCTAGTCGCATACCTTTATCATATGGGATTATGCCCATTACCGTATGTTTCCCAGTAATACCTTGATAATATAAGATGCGGCTAGTAACAATATTTTTGGTACCAAACAATTCCTTATTTATTATTATATGATTTGCCTAAATGTTTTCATTCAATAATAAAGAAAAAACCTTAAAAAAACTTTTCAAAACCCTAAAAAACAAGTTATCTTTACATTTATCTTTTTTTGCTATAAAAATACAATAGTTTTTGCTATTAAGAATACATGTTTTTACGGTTAATAAAATTTTTCAAATTGTTTAATATGTTGTTGAAAGTTTTTAAAAATAAGGCAAAATTTTTAACTCCTCAAAATCGTAAAATAAAATAATATAATGAAAAAAAATATAGAAAATTACCAAAAATGCCCAAAACAACCCAAAACAGTATGAACACTAAAAATAATATCAGGCATATCACATCTGTAAATCTCCTAAAAAAGTATGAGAAATATTAAAAATTTAAATAAACGTATTAAATAAAACCTCCTAGCTATTGGTCCATGAAAGGTTGGGTCGTAGGAATATGGCGAACCTGAATATTTTATTTTTTAAAATCATTTGTATTTATGATAATGACATTGTAGAATAGACATAAATTTTATTTCTATTATTTTCCTATTTTAAATAATTTTTTTCTGCCTTAAGTTCCATTGAAGTACATTTATTATAATTGTTATTAAATATATTGCGCGAACGGACAGGGATTATACTAGGCAATTAAATTTACATTTTTTAAACAAAAACTGTTATTTTGTAATATTTAAAAAGAGTAAAAATTTTTAGTTAGTGATAATCCTGATTTAGAAAAAATATTAACGACTTGTAATTTGTAACAGCGACTAGTTAAATTATTCTTAAAAATGATTTACATGTGTGTACAGGTCGGACCTTGACAAAATTATAAAATATTTAGTTTTCCTAATGTTTTAATAAATATTCTCATAAAGTATAACATAACTTTCTTATTTACTTTGAGTGCTTAGATTTTTTTAGCTTTTGTCAAAATATAGTACATTTTCAACAGTCTAATATAAATTTCAATCGGATCTATTTCTAAAATAATTGAACAAACATACTCGGCTTGAGTAGGTCGGATAAAATATCTTAAAAGTTCGAATAGGTTTGATCCTGAAAATTAGGTCCGCAGAGCTCTATTATAACCCTTAGAAAGAAACTTTATTTTATTTATTTTAAAATCAAGCACAAGGAAAAACAAGTTTATTATTTTTTTTCTTATTAAAATCAATTTTAGTAAAAAGTATATGACTGAGCAAATTCCAAATGGGTACGTAAGGGGACAGTTGAAAGTGGTTTATTAAGTCATTTATAATATGATTATGATGGGCGTTCTTACTTTGAAGTGCCTCAAAAATTAGCATAACATTCTCTCAATGTCATGTTAAATATGGAAAAAAAAATTGGTGCCAACTAGGACCTCCTGAAACGATTAGATTTTTTTAAATAAAGCAACAGTCAATTGATTCGTAGTTTTACATAATTAAAAGAAATTCAGGAAAATGGGGGGAGGGGAGGGAGATTAAAGTTAGTCAATTTTTAAAGATAATCGCTTAATAGGTGAAATTTACTTGTTCTGATAAAATGACATATTTTCTTTCTTTAATCCCCCCTTTAAAGTATTTTGGTATGACTAAATAAGTCTGTCTATAATCTCAATCGTGTAAAAAAAACGATAGCACTAAACGGATGTGAATATTAGATATCTTTCAGTAATTGAAAAATACAATCATAGTGGATCTGTTATAAAAATAATTAGTCTGGATCGATGGAGTGTATATTATTTTGATAAATGAATTCAGTTACAAAAGTATGCTTTAAATTTAATTATTCAAGCGAACGAAAACGAAGGTATTTGAACAGGATATTTTTTATGGGGATGACGCAGGGATTATATATAAATTAGTTAGACTATAGTTGGGCAATTACTATATTTTTAATCGTTTAAGTTAATTATTAGTGGGCTAAAAAATCGAATAAACCGAGTTTTAAGTCAAAAACTATCACTTTGGACTCGGGTTTTCTTAAAAATATGGCGGCTCAAATTTGAATGAAACACATATATATATATATATTCAAACCCTCGATGATAATGGATTTTTTCGGGTATGCGCCTGTAAATTAAGTCGAATTAGCCGATATTTCGCCATTACCAAATTACGAATTCAAATTATATTGCTTCTTGCAACCACTAAAATTTCTTACACTCTTTTAAAGGAAGATAGATAGCCGCTTTAAAATTCTTGTGCTTATCACTGAATTGAAATTATGAAATCAAGCCTGAGCTTACATTCTCGGCAAGGAGTGAATCAATCATTTTTCCTCAATTGATAAAATATTTCAGTGATAGATATTGAGTGCTTTAAACTATGCAAAAATATTACCAAATATGTAGGATTTATAAAACTAATTTTTCTTAACTATACTCTTATATAGCATAAATTATGATTATAAGTTACAAATAAATGTTAAACTGAAATTAATTACAAATAATTGCGAGGCAAAACATTTATAATTATCAGAAATGCACCAATATCAAGTATTGGGCCAATACTAAAATATCAGCAGGATACTTTTTATTCTTTGCCAATACCAAATTATTCAACCCTTTAAAAGTTAGCTAATAACTTTTCGATTATTTTTTACGGACGCCTTTTTTGTATATAAGGTAGAAACCTCCTGTATCAGGCCTATTTTTCAGTTCCAACCCTATCTAGAGAAAAAAAATTGTCCTACCTTTTTTAACAGAATAATCTTCAAAGATCTGAGCTCGAATTTAATTTAATTGGACTATTTTTCTAACATTAGGAAAACAAAATAAGTTTATTTGTCGAGATTCGATTCTGAATAAATTTTAATATAAGGTCGGTCCGAATCCGACTAAGGCCGAGAGAATGTATGTTAGAGTCCGACCAATCGGAGTACGATCGGGTACGAGTTGGATTTAGACTCAGAGTCCGTCCAAGCTCTAATATTAGTATAATTTACGTTGTTATCTAATATTTTTATAAAACACATTTAAAAAAAAATATTTATGTTCAAACGGTAAATATTATTACCCGAAAATTAAAAACATATTGGAGTATTATTTTATTTTAAATAGAAAAAGATCAAAGTATAAAAGGAATAAATTCGGATGATTCATTCATCTGATATTTTGACTTAATTTAATATAGGGATAGAAAACAAAAGCAAACAAAAAATTTGGAGATTTTTGAATTTACAAAAACGAAATAAAAATATTTTAATATTTTGAATATTCAAATAGAAAGTGAGTGACTACCTGTTATTTTTAAGTGAAATTTATTTTAGATCTCGACATTAATGAATTTTTTCTAGTAATCGATTTCGGAACTAAAAATTTACATATACTCCGCCCTAAGTCACTTAAAATAGCTTTGGATTTTCTTACCGAATTTGCGAATTTATGTTATTTAAGCAAAGTGATTATACTAACTTTAATAATGCATTTTGGACAGGCAAATTTGATTACTTAAATCGTAAATATGGCGAGAAAATTCTTAACTAATTTCAATAAGCTAGGCGTTATAATAAAAAACAAACTTTTTTAAAAATATTTTTACACCCCAATACCTTTTTGTTTACATTAGAGTTTATCTATAATGAAATTATTTTTTCTTAATCATGTTTTGTTATATCGCATTGGTATATTAAGGCAATTTAATTCAAATCAATCAGGTAATTTTATTTAAAGAGATTATTTGTTATATTTTTATTACTATTATCTATTTATAGAAGCGTCTATATAATAAGAGTTATGCTATAAAAAGAGGTTAAAACTTTTAATAACTCGTGGAAATGTATATATCCAACAAAATTCATTCATAGAATATAAATAACAATCTTTTACTTTTACATAATTATCAAAATCATGAAAGTTAAAATTGGCATCCGACAATCAAAATCATTTTAGTTTATAAATTTAAATTAGATACTGAGAATACAACTTAATGCGGATATTTAAACCACTTTTATAATCTCATTAAAAATATTATGCTAATAAATATATTTTAGAATTAAGGGTCAGTGTTAATAAAATATATTCATAAAATATTGATTACCATGTCCTGCTGGAAGTACATAGCGTTCTTTACCACGGATTTTCATTCAAATTCGAAAGTAAACGATTAATTTTAATAAATAAATAAATTAGATTATTTAACACATGCATTTTCAAAATTTATTCTCATAACAAAACTGCTAACTATATAATTTTATGAAAAAAAAGTTCTTAAATTTATGGCCTGCTCAAGCCATTAAAAGTTAAATCTATTTCCCTTTGTAAATTATACCACAAACAATAGTTATATTAAAAAAAACAAATATAATTTAATTCTAATTTATTATAGAAATTATAAATAACATAATTTATTGATAAATTATATATTTTGTATTACTTATTTTATAAAAAAAATAAATATGGCCCAAGGGCAAGCAAAATAATATAAATTTAATTTAAAAGATAGAGGCAATATTATTGGTGCAAATAAAAAATTTGATTGGATATATTAATTATTCTAAAATTAATAAAAAAAATAATTCAAACTTTTAAACATCTATCCCTAATTATATTCATCCATGAATGTTGTATAAACTTCCCAAATTCATAGTTTAACCAGATTCAGAGTGATAAGAAATTTAATGAATAATTTTATATAATTTTTAAGACCAAACTGATAAAAAAAATAAAATAAATTATCCAAATTTTTATTTGTATAATTCTTTTAAGTTTTTATTTTTATTTGTATAAGATTTTTTTTTGTATTTGTTTGTACAAGTTTTTATTTATTTTCACAAATAACAAGTATATAAAATATAAATGTGCTTTTGATATTAAATAATATTCTATATTAAAAAAACAAATACACATTTATATGAATAATTTTAGACTAAAAAACTTCAAATATTAAAGTTTTTACCATCATCCATTGGTGGTGCCAGAGAATCATCATCATTTTCTGTATATAACATAAATGTCTGGTGTATGAATATAATAAATATTAACCAGCATAAATAATTGTATATAAATCCTTATAAACCTTCAAAGTGTGTTGATGTGAAAATTTTCATTACATCTCAATGAAAGCATATGATAAGCGCGTAATGAATAGAAGCTACATAGTCAGATTACTATTCATTGGTTAATCTGGATACTAAATATCTTTTGATTGGTTAATTTTGCAAAGTCAAATTTAAATTTGAAGTGAAACATTACAAATGCGAAAATAATTCAAGTTACGTATTATAATTTAGGTAGATAGTATAGTTTATCAAACTTCTTGCATTTTTTGCAAATCAAATTGTCAATTTTAATATAATATAAAGAATGGATTATGTTTATACATTGAAAATCTAGTCTCCTTGACAAAATGTTTTTATAAAAATTTTATATGCCTCCCCCTCCTTCTGCCGTTTTTCGCATTATTATTTACCTATATAATAAGGGATTCTAAAATATTTTAATAAATATTATGTATTTAGGAAATTAAATTGTTATTTAGATAATTGCTATAAGTTGACTTAGCAGTATTCTTCATTACCCAAATAAAGTTGACATATATTAAGTGAATTCAATTTTACAAACTAGACCGATTTTCAAAATATATATATTATAAATTAATAATAAAATAAATATCTATTCAACAATAAATACTATTATAGGGTTTTCATGACGGAAGATTTATTATTACTATGATTTTCGTTTCGATGCAAATAATACATTATTTTAATGTTTAGAAAGTAATATGTATTGTACTAAAACTAGTTTGAGGTATTAAGATATAAATGTTACTAATGAATAAGAATATATTTACATATTTAGGGGATAACCTTTTATTTTTAATGACTACAAATGTATGTAATACATAAAGCTTAGTCGATATTTAGCAATTTATATATATTATAATAAGTCTATAATTGAAGTATTATATTTTTACATCAATAATTTTAACCATATTTTATCCAAAAATGTAGTACCCTCATTAAATTTACACACCAACCGAATACAATTTATATTTGTTTTTGCATAGATTTTTTATATAAATATAAATAACTCAAAAATTAATGACGAAATTGTCTACAATCCATAGGATAGGTACTCTAAACTGGAATACATTTCCTGCAAAATCATTTTTGAAAAACGTATTTAAAAATTGATATAAAATTGAAAAAATAATGCATCACCGGAAAAAACAGGTTGTAGCGGACATATATGAAATTAACTACATTAACAAAAAAATAAACCTAATTTTTTTAAAAAAATATTTAAAATTTATTAATATATAGTAGTAGAGTAGTTTGCTATTTATGCCTCAATTGATAATGGTTTTTAAAACCACATAATATAATATAATTCTTAGCAACTTACATTGACAAAAGGTCATGAAACTAATATAATTCTCTCTCATTTTAAACAATGTTTTATAGAATGAACTATTAAGGAAAAATTGGCCTAACCAAATCAACAATTCTTGAGAGATTATAAACGACCAATCCAAATCATAAAACTATTAGGGTGGTTAGAGCTTCTTCTTAGATGATATGATGGAAGCTAGATACATAATCGAGAAAATTATTGTGAGATATTAAGTTTTTAAAAGATTATCTTCCATTTTTAATATTATATAAACGACTACACCGTTAACCATTATTGCTTATTTATAATATGTAATCATATGCTCTCAGCCGCTGTAGTAATAATCCTAACTTATATTGCCACACAAATAATAGATACTGGCTAATTTTCAATCATAACCATGACACTCACTATGTTAACTCTTATCAGAATTTATTATGATAGATAAATTGATAAAACAAAAACACTATAAATCTTTGGAAGAAATTATATAAATATATTGAAGCCTTAAGTTATTTACACGAAAAAGAAGCCATATTAAAGATGAAACATTTTAACTAGAATGATATAATGAAAGCAATTAAGATTTTATATATTATTGTCGCACCACCTCGAGTTGGTATATTATATCTTAAAATAATAGTAGTTTGCAATAATATCAAAAATATATTCGTATTAAAAATTTAACTCGAAACTGTTTTTTAAATAAGAAAAAAAATAGCTTTCCTAAAAACTCGTAAAAAAAGAGAAGAAAAGATATGTAATTGTCTTTGTCATCTATTTATTCAAAAATATTATTAAAAATTAAATATCTTATTATTCATCCCACAATGGATGTAAAGAATTGAATGCAAATTGTTACTTATATTTATTATCAAAAGCATTTATTAGTAAAATTTATTAAAATTTTAACTGTAATATATTATATAACTGTCAAATACGTCTGTAAAAGTGGCATTTTACCTAATATTTTATAACCAATTATATATAATTGGGGATTATAAACCTTATGTGTCTACTTTTTTATAAAAAAAATCTCCTATACTTATTTGGACCTTGGAAAATTTTTTTAGGAAGAGGCATGATAATTAAATTTAAAAATGAATAATATAGTTGATTATATAAAATTTGTTAATTTTAAAAAATAATTGTATTTATATAATTAGGGTTATACTAATAATTTAAATGATATTAAGCTTCAACTGTTAATGCTAAATTAGTGATATTGATATATTTTTAACACAGAATTTGATTTCAAGCTGACATAGTGAAATAATTTTTATTTATCTAATAATTAAAATAGTATTCATTTAATAAAAATTTAGATAGTCTTATTAATTTTTAAATAATAAAATTAAATCTATATATTAAGTAATAGAATTATAGAGAAATCGTTTAGGGGGTTAAGATGCCATCGTACGGCGCTACACACTAAGTCCAAAAGGTAACCTGCAAAAGGCAAATAAACTTTAGGAAGTAGTTATCGCGAATAATTAAAGAATCTCCTCTTTTAAAGGTAATTGTAAATATGCCGATGAAAAATCAACTTTGGAAGAATATTTTCCACCTTTCAAATTGGCTAAAATCTCCTCAATTTTAGGCAATGGATACTTCACCTTAACAATCATCAGCGGTGTATTGTTTAAAAACTTGGTGTGGGGGGGGGGGAAGTGGCTACAATTTTTTTTTATATATTATCAAAAAATATGATATATATAAAATCGGTTTTATTTAATTACGAATATGAATAAATTCGTTTATTTTAAAAATAATGTAATTTGATACATATATCTAAAATTAAAAAATATATTAATATGAATTAAAAAAATTCCCAGAATCTTTCATTTCTTCATTTTCTTTGGGCTGTATTTTTTTTAAAAAAAATTTATTCACCCGCGATGATTCTTTTTCCATATTTTGATACATGGATCTGAAATCCATTCCGATATCGAAGGTCCATTGATATTTATATACATTCATATTTAAAAAATTATTTACTCATAAACTATGATCAAAATCTAAGAAGAAAGCCTTTTCCAAACTCGGCAGTAGAATAAAGTCTCCACAAAGTTAAGGAATTTTTCAAATTTTAGGAATATCTTCGTCGATACATAAACTTTAATTACAATTTTTTTATTTGCATTTCGCCTAATCACGCATCTAGGTTTTTAGGCCAATTTCTTTTTGAATATTTCAGAAAGCATTCCTAAAATAAAAAAATAATTTTATTCAAGTCATTTTACCCTAGTTTTCAAAGTTACCCAGACGGGATCGCAAAGAGAAATTATTAATTGGCCTATTTCTAATGTTACTAGTTATGTTTTTAAAATAAAAGTGGAATTTCTGAATCGAGCTACATATTTAAATATTTACCTAGGTGGAAGGGTAGGGCAGGTGCGAATTATCTAATTTTTGTGAAGGGTGGTAGAGTAAAGTAAAAATAAACAATATTTATAGATTAAAGATAAAAATAACATAAATTTTTTTTAAAATTTATTAATAAATCTTTATTTCTCATTCATTCATAAACAATTTAGTACAGTTTAAAGTTACACGCTCGTGACTAATATTTAGAATACGGTTAGTAACAACTAGTTGATTATCACCATCTAATAATTATTTTTATTCCTGGCCTAAATAATAATGAGACCTGAAAGAGTTTAATTCAAATTTTTTAGAGGGGTAGAAGTAGATTTTAGAGGGGGTGTGCTTCTAATGAATATTTGTCATGTAGATGCTCCCTATATAATATTTTAATATTGTTAACATGTTCCTAATGATTTTCTAAAATATCAGTATAAAAAAAAAATGGTTAATTGGCAAAAGGACACCGAAAAAAATTGAAATTCCTTTTAAACATTTAAAAGATATTGTTAAATATTCTTTTTGCCAGTAGTGTTGTTAAACCAGCTAAATGCTAACAGTCGAGGAAATTGACAAAGACTTAAGACGAGTATATTTTTTCAAGATTGAGCTATCCCTTAAGTTTAAACCTCGATAGAGGCTAAGATAATAGTTTTCGTTAAAATTTGATTTAACCTAAGTTGACTCCTGTTTAAAATGCAGCTACACCACTACTTGCTGGTGATGAACCTCATTCTATACTTTAAATAAAGCAGAAATGGCAGCAAATTATAAGAATTTCTATACCTTTTCCTTCTCTATCTTCTATGTGGTTATAAAAATAATATGACAACAATGTTTGACTATATAATTTTAATTTTTATAATAATAATAAGGAAAAGGGGATTCAAATTTAACAGTTTTAAAAAAATTTAAAATTTCTGGAGGAGGGTGGTTAAACCACTCCTCAAAATTTAGAAAGGGCTAAAAAACAAAAAAGAAATTGGGTGGGGGGGAGGGGGGGGGGCTTACCCTTCCGTAGCACATCTACCAATACACCCCTGATCATCACACTCTATATTTAATAATAAATTCCAACAATGTGCAATTTTGCCGTTTGATATATTTTGAAACAATTTTTAATATCTTGGGACAAAAGAGAAGACAACACCTAAATAATTTTTCAAATAAAAAATAAATAGAACCCTCGACGTTCTACTCCGCTGCGCTACGTTTGCGCTCTCACTCTGTTTCAGAGAGCAAGTCTCGTTGGCATATAGTCTAACAGGGCATAATATTTGAGATGCTATTTTGGTTAGGACCTAGAATTGTTGGATTAAAAATATATAAGATGGCGAGTTAATAAAAATAGTGGGTATTTTATTTTTGCGAAAATATATATATAGTGTATT